TTAAGGTCTAAGCTTTTTGGGATTCTTAAATCATAAAAATATTAATATAGTTTCTTAATTTTGATGGAGATTTCCAGAAAAATCATTGATGATTTAAGAAAGTACTTTAAAGCCAGGTACAGTGATGCACACCTATGGTCCCAGCTCCTTAGGAGGCTAAGGTGGGAGGATCGCATGAGGCCAGGGGTTCGAGGCCAGCCTGGGCAACATAGTGAGATCCTATCTCAAAGAATGAAAACAAAAAATTTAATTCCTTTTACAGGCCACATTAGTAAAAAATTGAGTGTTTTCTGGCTGACAAATTCTAACCATAAAATAGTGTTTTCTAATTTTATGCACAATGTATGGTGCATACAGAGCCCAAAATGGGAGCATGACAGTCTAAGATGGGTGAGAAGAAGGATTCAAAGAAGCCCTGACAGTGATCTCAATAGTCAAGTGCCCACAGGCCGGCAAAATGGACATGGCAGTGACATTGTTCCAGAACCCGGAACCAGCTCTGACACAGAGGCAGGCTCCACACCTGTAACGCTGACTGCAGTGTGCAATGTGCTACTGCCACAGAGGACTTCCCTGACGGGACTGCAGGAGGCCCAGTAATGGGTGTGGAGAGGGCTCTGACACATGAAATAATGCCCCACGAACACAGAGGAGAGCGGAGGGAGCAGCCTTATAGCACACAGCTGGGGGTGGCCGGGGCCTTGCGGTTTCCTGGAAGTAACATATACACTGTCTGGGCTGAGGAGGCTCATGCACTTGACGAGAAGACCCCCTCATCTTCTACCTCCAAGTCTCCCCACCTGCCCACACCTGTCCTACCACGCTCTGCTGCCTCGCCCTTCCTCCGGAAGAACATCCTGGCCAGATTTCAGGCTAACTCCTCCCTGAAAGGGCGTGTCCCCTCTGCTGGCCTGCCCGCAACATGCCGACGTGCCGCCACAGTCCCTCTTCCAAAACTCCCACGGGGCTACACGTTCCCCTCTGGGCACCGCCTCTGCCTGTGTTCCCGTGTACAAAAAACATCCCTCCAAGAAGATGTCTATATTCACTGTTCACTCCGCTTTCAGCTCCTCCAGTTTCTTGGCCCTGCTCTTCACAAAGGCGATCACGCACGGCCTCCATGCTGTCCAATCCAAAGACTGTCTCAGCCTCTCCCTCAGGGCCCAACAGCCACTCCGTCCCTCCAAGTGGCCTCTGACGCTTCAGTCCTCTAACCTCCTGACTCCCACCCCCCTGCCCTAGCAGTGCCCTCCGTCCACGCCCTGACAGCCCGGGGCACAGCTCCCCCAGCGAGCAGCGAGCTGCACACCGGCCGTCCGCCTGCCCACGCCAGCTCTCCAACTGGGAGGAAGAGGATTCCACAGGTCCACAGCAGACTGTTTTATCTCCTCCTCTCTCTCACGCCCCAACACATAACAAATAACTTCCCCCTGCCCAGGCTTCTCCGAGTTTAATAAACAGCATCTCCACTTACCCAGCCATGCAGGTCACCAACCTAGGAATCACCTCAGACTCACGTCTCTCACAGCCCAGAGCCAATGTGGCAGCCAATGTGTCCACTCTGTTTTGGACACAATCCCACCACCTACCCCACCTGCCCCAGCATGGACCCCACCATCTCTCACCTTGATCACCTGGAGCCCATCACTGGCCTCCTAGCCACCACTCTTGCCTACTCTGGTGTGTTTCCAAACAGCAGCCAGGGTAACCTCCCCCGGTCAAAACCCTCTCGCGACTGGCCACAGCACCGGAATAAGGCAGCCCCCTGAGCAGGGCCCACACAGCTATGGGAGGGGGCCTCCCCATCCCATCCTCTGCGCCACACACCTGGCCTTGCTGCTCAGACGCGTGGGAACTCGGACACTCGGTGTTCAGGTCCCTCCCCCCGAGGGCTTCTCTCCAAGCTCTTCTTCAGGATCAGCTCAGGCCACCCCTCAGGAGCCTTCCCTGCCTTCCTATTGAGAGAGACCTCTGTGTCCCCTGCTCCCTCTGCTCTGGCCCCTGTTTGTCACTACCGGACACCCTGTGCCTGCTTCACATGCTCCCTCCGAGCAGAGGGTGCCGGCTGCGCAGCCGTCTCCCAGGTGAAGAGCAGAGACTCGCTGGGGAGGTTCCAGTGCTGGATGAACACACACTGCCTAGGTGGACTCAGCCAGGTGCGGGGGTGTCAGTGTCACCTGTCTCAGATGACCTAACTTTCTTCTTCGGCCAAGACCTGGACATGTAACTCCTTATTGCCGTCCCCACTTGGCTACCAACCAGGCATCTCAGACTCAGCACGTCCAAACCAGAACTGATGTCCACCTTGGTCTCCCTGATCTGGCCTGTCTCTCCCGTCTAGGTCAATGGCTGCCCCATCCATTGAGCTGCTTTAGCCAAGAGCACAGAAATCATATTTTATTCTTTCCTTCCCCTTGTGCACTGCATCCAATCCATTATCTGGCCCTGTCCTTTCAATCTCCAAACTGCTTCTCCCTCCAGCCACCCCACTCCTCTTGGTGATGATGCCCTAGTGCAGCCTCCGACCCTGCTCCTCTGGGCGCCCTCCTCTCAATGGCCCCCTCCTGCTCACCTCTTGCCCGTCTAAAATTAATTTTCTACACAGAACTAGAGTGGGCTCTGAAACACAGTTCAGACTGTTATTCTCCTGCCTAAAGCCCTACAGTATCATTCCATGGCACCTAGAATAAATCAGCACCCCTCCCAAGCTGGCACCTTCCTCTCCAACGTCACTTTGTACCAGTGCCCCAGCCCACTTGTGGCTCCTTGAATATCCAAGTGGTGGCCCAACCTGGGGCCTTGGCGTGTGCAGTTCCCTGAGCCTAGAATGCCCTTCCATCCGATCCCCCAGGCTGTAGGCTCCAGCTTAACTACTACTGCCCAGTGGAGGCCTTTCCTCACCTTCCCTCCCAAAGAAACGCCCTGCCCCCACGCCTAGCAACTTTCCAATGCCCCACCCTGTCTCCTTTTAGCATTTATTGCGGCCTGTCCATTTATCTTGCTGACGGACTGCCTCTCCCATCACGTCTGAGGGCAGGGCCTTGTCCCAGGTGGTCTTTTCGCTCGCTGCCGTGGCCCTGCGTGTGCTGCCTAGCAGCCGCTCACTGAGCGCTCGCTGAGGGCAGCCCTGCTCCCGGGGCCAGACGTGTAACTACCATCTAAAACAGTAACAGCAGAAAGGCAAGCCTTTAACGGAAAGTTTAAAAGGTTTCCGTTTATTCCATGTTAACCCCCATTTCTTTAAGGCTCAATAAAATATCCCTACTTCTGAAAAAGGGGTCTTATTTATTTGTTTCTGTATCTGGGACAGCTCCTAGCACAGACTATGCTTTTAATCAATGTTGCCAAAAAACCTGACCACACAAACATACCAGGAGAGGTTCACAGAAATTGCTCAGGTGTCCACACGAAAATTAACAGAAGCCAGTTAAGAGCCTGTTGGGTACATGACCCACATGAAAGGCAAATCTCTCTGTTTCTCTGTTTACACTCTGCCTTCCCTCCAACAAGACAATGGAGTAAGACCCTGACAGATGAACCAGGACACAATGCCAGACGGAAGAGTAGGCTATCGCAGAGGGAAAGTCAGAACCAAGTTCTGCAGAACCACCATGCCCAAGCTACAAACCCCACTGAGTTTCCTAGGGGCCAATGGGTATTGCTGTTATAAAAAGGCCAGATTGTTGATGGAATTAAGAAAGTATTCAGCATGGAAAACAGAAGCCGAAGGGGAGGTATGAGAGTATCCTTTAACAGCTGAAGGGCTGTCACGCAGACAAGAGAATAAACTTCTACTGTGTTGCTGCAAAGCACAGGACACAGAGTAGTGGGTGGTGAGCACTACCACAGCAGCTGTCTCCACCCGCCTGGCCTCCCCCGACCCTCCCCGATGGCCTGTCACCGATGGCACCACCAGCCTCAGGCTCTCATCCACGCCTGCCAATCTCACCACGTTTCCAAGTCTCCTGCTCTCGCTCTGCCCAGAGCCAGCCTCAAACCCTCTGCATGTGCCTTGACCATCTGCTGCCCTGCCCGGATTCTCTGCAGGCGACAGTGCCCTTTACTGGGAGACATGAGATGGGAACTCCTCCCCTTCCCCCCTGCCAATCTACAAGCAATGCTTGTGGGTTGATCAACCAATGATCTGTGCCGATGCTGCCCTCTGCTCCCCCCCCACCCTCATCTTCACTCCTGTCCCCTCTTCTCAGGATAAGGATGGGTTAGCTCTACCACTCTACCTACCCCCTTCCTCACCCCATCCCCATGAAAACAAGCTGCAGAGTTCTACAGGCATGTCTTATGGGCTGGGGTGGGGACTACGCGTTATAGGTCACCCAGGTGTTCCAGCAGCTGTTTTCCACCCAGCTGCTATGGTGGTCAAAGGAGGGAGAATCTCAACTGGAACCCTCCCATTCCTTGGCTAATCCCACTCACCCTGCAGGCCCCGTGCCTTTGGGCAGTCTCCTCTGACCCCCCGGCTGGATAGAAGCCTGTTTAAACTCCTACAGCATCCTGCGTGCTGCTCCAGGCAGCTAAACGACTGTTAACAAGTGGTCTGTCTGCGTTTCAGTTTCCACAATGGAGGGCTCAGATCTGCGTTTACCGCGTCATCGCCGAGCCCGCCACAGTCCACAGAGACACTTGGTGAACACTCGCTGGGTGGGGAGTGGGCACACACCGGACTCCTCACCAGGGCCAGGTGGAGGGTGCCTGCACAAGGGCAGGACAAAGACCGGATCCCCCAGGCTTCTCCACAGACCACGGCGCCCCCTGAGGCAGAGTGGCTGCACCTGCAGGTTCCTGCGGCTCCTCAGTCAGAGAGCTCACGCTTCCTGTCTGGTGCTGGGACGTGTCCAAAGCAGGCGAGGACCCGACCAGGACCCCCGGCTTACAGCTGCCGTGGGCCTGCATCTGGCAAATGGGGAATCCAGGAAAACTCAAGGCACATTCTGCAACAAGGTCCAACATTCAGGCCAAACTGGAACACTTGCGAAGCTTACCTTTTCCTTGGTTGTGTTCCAATTTGCTTGACAGATTTTTCTTCAGTGTAAAAAAGCAGACTTCTCTGCAAAGTAGAGACGAGCAGCACTTTCTGGCTATAATCCAGCTGCACGATGGACGAAGGCTCCTCTAACACCAAGTGGGAGCTGCAGACGCCCTGTCAGAGAGTCCAGCCACGCCTGACATCAGTGCTCAGTTAAAGTGACCCGACTGCCCGGACGGCTAGTGAGCATCCTTTCTGCTAGCTGTATTTAGGTCAACTTACACCTTAAAATGTATGCTTTGATTCTCCTCAGATTCAGTGTCAACTCACTGCAATAAGATTATTTGGGGAAGTCCTTACTGATGAGAAGATAGTCGATGTTAATCTAGCTCATGCTGTATCAGTTTGACAAACATTTAAAAATCTGTAAAATTTCTTTTAAAATGTTCTCAGTAGATAGTTCAAAGAAGAATCCATAAAGATCTAAACAGAAATGTCATACTATGTGTATTATTTATTCTAATCTAAAACACAATGGAATGGGACTTTCTATAAACTTACTGTGACAATGATTAGCTCTCTAAGTTCATATCATACTCTCCCCTCACAAAGAGTTCAAAGCAGTTTTGAGGACATTACGTCTTTGCCAACTGAAAAGGTCAAAGAAATTGAAATGGTATTCATATAAAATGGTATTTTATACATATAAACACAAAATAAAATTATAGAAGGCATTTTACTGCTAAGACAAACTATATTTCATAGTGTCAAAAATCTGATTTGAGTTACTCTTCGCCTGAAGCAGTTTCACCAATTGGTTTTAAGATTTGCTGCAACATTACAGACCTTTTCTGGGGGAAAGAAGGAGCATCTGTCAGATTTATTGGTAAAATTTATATATAGTAAAATTCACCCTTTTTTAGGTATACAATTCTATGAATTTTGACAAATTTAGTCATGTAACCACACCACCACAATCAACACGGAGAAATTTCTGTCACACCAAAACATCGCAGATCCCC